CTCCATTTGCCTGCTGTTACCACCCTGTAGTCCATTCAAATTATTAATACATCAAATTGATTAATCCATTTATGAGGTTATAGCCCTAATGATTACCTAAACACCCTACTACCTCTGAATCTTGCTGTATTGGGGACTGTCCTTTAAAACATGAGCTCTTTAGGAGACATTCAAGATCTAAACTATAACATAGATCCCGAGCTGGGAACCCAAGGTCCGCGTTAAGTGAGATTCCAGAACTGGATTCTTTCCTCTTAGCCTGAGAATCACATGTGGAATTTCAGTACAAGCACTCAACAAAGGGATGCAAGGATATTGCATCTGTGTGGCTTCCTGTCCAAGGGTTGACTTCCCCACTTCTTGGAGGCAAAGTTCACTGCCTAATTCCCTGTTYGGTGTTAACTTTTTCTAAGTTTCAGTGAAACAGTTTCCACCCCGTTTAGTTTGTTGTATCTGAAAGAAGGTGCCAGACACATTTTTCTTTTTCTCTCCCTTCCTTTCTTTCTTTCATTGGGAATTTAACCCAGGGGAACTTTACCACTGAGCTACATATCCAGCCCTTTTCATTTTTTTTTTTAAATTTTGAGATAAGGTTCTCACCAAATTACCAAGAGCATCTAACTATATTGACCAAAGTTGCATTYCAAACTATTGGCATGCCTGATGGCCTCAGGAAAAAGGGACTCAATAGCCAAAGACACTGATGACTGATCTACTGAGCCTCTCAGGAGTTATYTGCAGTCCTTACAGTCTTTGGTGATTAATGTGTTCACATCCCTGCTATTTGGAGAAGCGAAGTTAAGCTGTGCTTGAAAGCAATAAAGACATTTTCTATGGGAATCTAGGCTGCCCTGCTGACACACTGCCTGGGTTACTGATGTTTCTCCTAGCAAAGGGTTCAGAAGAAAGATGAAGATTAGCAAAAGGCATGTATCCCATTTAGTGGCACTACCACTGGACATACCAGGATTTCTATGTCCTGGTCCCTCTTGTGTCCATGTGCCAAAACTTCTATCAGGGAAGGAACAGAGACAGAAATGTATTTGTGCTACTCTTCAAAAGGACACCATCAACCCCCAAAGGTAGGTATACCTTAGGAGGAAGACTGACCTCGTGACTGGGAGCATTTGGTTCCTGAGAAGCATGGGGAATGACCMCTGCTCAGGCTAGCCAGTAGTAGCTTGTGTGAAGACTGCATATTCTGTCTTGGGTGACCCAGACCTCTCTTGTCTTTGAATGCAAACATATCCCCTCTTTCCCTGGGGCCAGGTTGCCTTTCATCTCAATCTACTTCCCAACAGGGCTCTAGCATTACTTGCAAATAGCCCCAAGGACATTTAAGGAGAAAAGAAAGGAAGGAGCAGTGGAGTGGTCCTGGTGGAATTCTCTCTGGTTTWCCTGGAATCCTGGGTTCTAGATCCTAAAGTTCCTTGGATGGGATGTTCTCTTGGCCCACCAGAGAGAGGAAAGGTATCTTCCATGCAGCTTAAGATTCTCCTGGGAGGCCAGATACCATTTAAATGTCTTTTTAAGCATTCTAAGTGAGAGTCCACTCCTTTGGGCTCAGGTATACATAGTCACTGAGTACTGTTCACTGGCCCAGAGTTCAAATCTTGGGGCAATGTTTTGGCTCCAACATGTGTTGCCATGTGCACTAAAAGGCCTTTCCTAGCGGGGTGCCAGTGCACTGTAATCTCAGTGGCTCGAGAGGCTGAGGCAGGAGGGTCACAAGTTTAGARCCAGCCTCAGCAAAAGCAAGGCTCTAAGCAACTCCGTGAGGCCCTGTCTCTAAATAAAATACAAAAATAGGGCTGGGGATGTAGTTCAGTAGTCAAGTGCCCCTGAGTTTAGTCTCTGGTACCTCACTACCCCAAGAAAAAGGTCTTTCCTGGTCTGGTATCCTGTGTGTGTGTGTGTGTGTGTGTGTGTGTGTACACGCACGTGCGTGTGTGTCTCCTCTTGAGTCCAAGGGGTAGAGAATGGTTAAATTGGGAGGATGTTTCTGGTAAAAACAGAACTCATTTTAAGTTTTCTAATCACTTTCCACATGTCACTTTCCCTTTTTTTTTTTTTTTTTTACATTCTTCCTTTAAACTCTGGAATTGTTTTTCATGCCTGAGGGCCTAAAGTCATCTTTTAATTTCTCCAATTTGAGAGGCAACTTACTTCATTTTTCTTGTTCTGAATGAGAAAAATGAATCTGTTCTGCTAAAGGAGACAGAATTTTCAATATATAATAAAAAGGGATAAATGAGTGTATACACATGTGTTTATATACATTTTAATGTATATATATGTATATAATGTATATATGTGTGTATATAGTGTGTGTGTGTGTGTGTGTGTATCTTACACTTGCTGTTAATTAGTCTTGAGAAGAAAAGACACAAATACTATTGATTTATTACCTTAATTTTGGATTGAGAGATAAACAGTCTCCATGCAAATAGCAGTAAACTTTTAAACAAACAAGGTCATTTTAAAACTAATGGGTAACATRGACACAGTATAGTGGTTCCCTGCTTCTTTGCACACAAGAACACAGTCCTGGGCAATGAGCTTGAGAGATGTAACGGAGATGAGTCTGGTTGCTGGTGTGAGCTTCCACTGCTCTAAAAAYGTCTTTGCCAAGTTCTGTCTCTGTTTCAGGGTTGAGCTGTTTAAATGGCTGTTGCTTCATTAATATCTAAATATACTAACATGATATGAAACATTAGCAGGGAAACAAACACTGTGATTAGGATTTCATATGTTAATTATTCCACTGAATAACAACACAACACTTTTATTCACTGGCAAATCACAAATACACACTGATGTTTACAAGATTTTTTTTCAGTTAAAGTGAAAGGAGGATGGTACATTTTAGAATACAAAGGGAAAAAAGAGATGAATCTTGTTGACTGATAAATGGCAAATATATTGAACTCGGGGTCTCATGCATGCTAGGTAAGCACTCTACCACTGAACTACATCCCCAGCACTTTTTATTTTCATTTTTAAATTCTGGGACAGGATCTCACTAAGTTGTCCAAGCTGGTCTCACACTTGGGACCTTCTTGCTTCAGCCTTCTGAGATAGCTGAGATTATAGATGTGTGCCACCTCATCCAGGAAAGCTAAAGCATTACAATTGTAAAACTGAAGATAATCCACCATGCTTCCTTGCTTGGCTTTGGAATGCACTGTGAAACTTGGTGAAATCAGAATTGATAAACCATTTTGATATGGTGAGACTGCATTTTCTTAAAGGTACAATGATTGGGTTGAAGATAAGTCTGTGGGRTGGTGATAGAAAACAATTGATTGGCACTTTGTTGTTGGAAAAACAAACCAAACCAATAATTTTAAGGAACAAGCAAGTAGGAGGTCTCATGAAAATCAAATGGAGATTAATAGAATAGAGGGAAAGGACTAGGGGAGGGAGGAGGGGCAGAAAGGGGGAAATACTGGGGAATGAAATTGGCCAAAATATATCGTTAGGTTGTGTGCATGTATGACTATGTAGCAACAAATCCCACTGTTATATACAACTATAATGCACCAATTCAAAAATGTGGGAAAAAAAGAAATAAGCAACTAAACAATTCCTTCTCCTCAGAAAACTTGGAATCAACCAAGTATGGATGGCTCAATCTCAAACCAGGTACCATTTGTACAGTCTCTGCTTCAGTATGAGTCAGGAAGAAATGAGGATACATATATATGATTACCACAGTTGTATAGTAATAATAATGGATTCAGAAATTCTATTTATGCAGCACTGTGGTGTGCTGAGGACAACATGCTGGAAAGACTGTCAACACTTCTAAGACCATGTAGCAATGCTGAGAGGCTACATTTTCTTGATTATATCCTGGGACAGGGGTGCCTTTTTTTGGGGGGGTACCAGGAATTGAACTCAGGGGCACTTGACCACTGAGCCACACCCCCAGTCCTATTTTTGTATTTTATTTAGAGACAGAGTCTCACTGAGTTGCTTAGCGCCTTGCCACTGGCTTTGAACCCTTGATCCTCCTGCCTCAGCCTCCCTACCTGCTGGGATTACAGGCAGGGGTGCCTTTTTGCCCCACTTGAGATGAGTTTCTGTGAAAAGAGTTCAAGGGTCACTGGTCCAAAGAACAGAGATAAAAAGGTGCAGGTGTTTCTCCATAATAAACCACAGTGCATGGAGTTTCTAAACAACTCCCTCCAAACCACCAGTTCAATATTACTTATTCATTCCTTTCACGTGTATAGTTCAAATCATGTTCACATGCTGAACATGGGCTCTCCCAGTGGCAGGGAAGGCAGAAGTTTTGATTATTTCCATATCATTAAAACAAAATGAGACATCCACACARGAAACAGGTAGGTCACATGAGACCTAGAACTCTGCTCTGGTCTTTGGGTTCTGAGCAGAGCTTCTTTTGTAAAAGAGAGTATGTTCCCAAAATATTTGGGTTTTAGCCAAATGGCCACACAGATTATGTTTATTACCAGTGGCAACCTTCACTCTTTTTTTTTTTTGGTGCTCTTTCTTTCGGGCCCCAGAGCCCCTGAAATCCTTTACACTGAAGTGTAAGGAACTGAATGTATTCCTCATCTCAGGATTGACCATCTTCACCCAATAGAGTGATGAGATTCCAACTCCATCAGTAAGACTTTTTTTAGTTCTCTCCTTCGACATTACACCATTGTAGAAGGGCCATAAAGCTGGCTGGACTGCAAGAAAAATTCTTCTTTGGAAGCCACAATCCTGGAGAACATATCAGGAGATAGTAGGAGCTAGGTTGAGGCTATAGACTCCATACTGATGGGCTTATCCTTACATTTTAATTATGTCTAAATGCCTTATTCTATAGCTTTGACCATTCCTGTTCAGATAAGATACAGAATGAGGGATCATGGAGGGGGAGTCCAGATACCATTGGTGGTCTCTTCCCAGCCATCTACATGTCTACATGTAGTTTGTCGACTCTGATAACTTCTGCCATTTTGATTTTTWAAATGTCTTTGTACACAGTAGGTAGGACAATCCTGTTGTCTCTGTCTAATCTCATTGGTGGGGCTTGCTCGCAGTAGATATTCAGTCCATGTCAGTTGCTGCTACTTGTGTCTGCTCTTACGGTTGTGACAATGTACTCAGCAGGCTAATGATATCAGCAGATATCAGTAAATGTCTGGGCTGTGGTTTGTGTCCAGCCTCATTATTTGTTATGACTTCGAAGCATCTAGCTCTGTGAAGACAGGAGGCATGAATATGATTGTTCTTTTCCATGCGGGCTGTGAATTTGATTGATGATGCTCTGAGTACTGGATTTGGGTTTTCTGTTGTGTAACGCTACCACGTCACTTCAGCCTGATACAATCCACCTCTTCAGTGGCAGGCACCCCACTGGTTTTGAAGTCAAGTTCAGCACTGGACTTGCTCCCATGGTGAGAGGGTTGCCAGTGGAGTAGCATCATCTTCTTGAAGTACTTCATGGTGTTGTTCTTGACYGTCACGAAGCACACAGTGTTAATCATGCTGTTGCTCATGGCGATGCACTCCACGACGTAGAAGGCAGTGAGGTAGTGCTTCTCTTTCACAAACACAGTGGGGAAGAAGTCKCGCACAATGGTGAAGCCATAGAAAGGTGCCCAGCACAGCACGTAGGCTGTAAGGATGCACATGAGCACCAGGACTGTCTTCCGGCGGCAGCGCAGTCGCTTACGGATCTGCTCTGTCTGGAATCCAGGGACGGCCTTGAACCAGAGCTCCTGGGAGATCCTGGCATAGCACAGGGTCATGGTGACCACAGGCCCTACGAACTCGAGGCCAAAGATAAACAGAAAGTAGGACCTATAATAGAACTGCTGATCCACTGGCCAGATCTGGCCACAGAAGATCTTTTCCTGGTTTTTGACAATAAAGAGGACGGTTTCGGTTGCAAAGTAGGCTGATGGGATGGCAATGAGGATGGAAACCAACCAGACCAAAGCAATCAGGAAGGAGGCGGTTTGATAATTCATTCGTGGTTTCAAGGGGTGAACGATGGCAAGATATCTGGTGAGGAAAGACAGCAAACAACCATAATATGTTACAGCTTGGAAAATGATCGTTTTTTTCACTAATTCTGAACACAGTGAATTCCCATGTACTCATTACCCAAATTTAACCAGCTTCATCTCATATCAGCAACATCATTTTGCACTTGGAATAGTGGCGTGGTTTAGTGGAAACAGCACAGGTTTCAGGTCAAATATGTTGAATAAATTCTGGCTTTCCAGACCCAAATTACCAATCTCTCTGAGTTTCATTTCCTCAAATGCAACCTGGAATCAAATGATACCTGCTTTGCTGGTAGCTGTGAAGGTTAAATATGATAATATTTGTAGCCTGTATTGTAGGTGTTCAATAAATACATGTGGTCTACTATTATTAATGCTCCTATTATTGTACCTTGGGTTCCAAGCCATTCTGCCCAAGATTACAATGCTCTCAAAGCTCTTCATTCTAAATAACTCACAGTTTAGAAATGAAGACGGGCTGGGCACCTCCGAGAGAGGTCAGGCCTTTCTCAGGTAGTGGACAAGAACTTTTTCCCTCTCCCTCCGCCCCCACTATCAGGTATTACTCTGCATTACAGAGACAGGAGAGTAGGGGTGGGTTTGTGGTGAAACTAAGAACCCTGATGAGAAGTAAATGTTTTGCTCAAGCTAGAATTATGCAAGCACTGGAATTCAGGCCCCTGGTACAAAAGCTTTTACACTCACCTCCCTGGGTCACCTCATGTTCAAATGAGAAGGTATATGAAGCTACCATAATACCATAAGTCTTGATCCCTGCTCTTTCTGATGAACCACATTGCCCAGGAAAGAAGTCGGAACCTTTTGTAGAAAGTGAGCTCAGCTGTGCAGATTGAATATCTTCTCTCCAGAGAGAGAGAAGGAATGACAACCTATTTAGATATTTGGGTGCCCTGGAATCACTTCTGTGCAGGATTGAGTGGTAGAAGAAAGTGGAGAAAGATAAACAACAGAAGGGTCAGAAAAGAAAGAATTTAGCCATGGAAATAAACATGTGCCCCATACCTGAAGACTGAGGCAGGTGGGATTAACAGCAGGAAGCTACCTGTAGAAAATTGGATCTAACTTCCTTTTCCTTTGTAAACCAGACCCTTTGATCACCTTTCCAAGTGTCTGATTTGACTATGGAGGCTTCCTTCCATGTTACTGCTTCTCGTCCCTGACAGTATTTCTGCTACAAGTTTGCTTCACCTTCTCTTGCCTGCTCCTTGTCCATTGTTGGCTCTAACCCATTGAATTTCACTAGCAGGTCCCATGGCAGCATGACTACCTCCAAGTTTGTGGCTTTCTGAATACCCAGGATGAAGCTGGATCCATCACAACCACTGACTGCACCCCACCTGGATGTACTAATATGCATGGCTGTTGCTGGAGCTCTCCGCACAGCATTTGATCTGGCCTTGCCATGTGAACCTGTATGACTGTACTGACTGACAAGCCTCACGGGACTGGAGAGAGGGGCAAATGGGCTGGCTCACCCTCACCTGCAGCAGGGACATCTCACAATCACTGTCTCTTTGTAATGACTGGGTGAATTAGTTTCTTGTTGCTGCTATAACAAATGCCCACAGATATAGTGGCTTGAAGTGACACAATTGATTATCTTACAGTTTTTAGAGGTCAGAAGACTGGTGTGTGTGTGTGTGTGTGTGTGTGTGTGTGTGTGTGTGTGTGTGTGTTTCCTTTCCAGGGTTGCCTATAGTTTTTGACCCATGACCCCTTCCCTGTTCAAAGCCAGCAATGGCCAGCTGAGTTTGTCTCATTTTGTATTACTCTGATATTAACTCTCTGCCTCCTTCCACAATTAATTTGTGATTTTATTGGCCCCACCTAGATTATCTAGTATAATTCTCCTATTTTAAGATCAGCTGATTACCAACCTTAATCCCTTTTGCCACTTTAATTCCCTTTTGGCATGTAATGTAATATGCTCACAGTTCTGGGGAACAGGATGTAGTTATCTTTTGGTGGGGGCAGGGAGGAATTATTCTGCCTACCACACTGAATCCAAAGTTCTTAGGGAAAGCAAGACAAATTCAGAACTTAATAGCTTTCTGGTTCTATCATAGACAGTATCTCAATAACCAATGCCAAATGAAAATTCCCCACATTCCTGCTTATTCTGTTGTTGTCTTTTAAATTCAAGTTTTTTTTTTTAATCATTTGTAACACTTTCCTCATTCTATGGGATGTTTCAAAATTCAAATAGAAAAGAAAGGAACACTACTAGCCTGCAGGTTATTCAGAAGGCCTGGATCCAAGCTGTGAACTTGGATAAATCATTTATACTCCTGAGAATTAGTTTCATCATCTATGAAATGGGGATCATAATAACTTTATTGACAATCTCTCAGGATTTTTTTTTTTTTAGGTTTCAAGAAAGTGAACATACATAATGCATGTTGGAAGCTATAGTACTTTACTTACATTGATTATTTCCCACAGTTCACTCATTGGCAAGAGACATCTGCAAGGTGTTTGTTGCCATCTATCTGCTTGGAAGTGTTTCTTAAGATCAGTGGTTTTCTTCAAGTCTCTGTGACTTGAAATAGCACCTCTTCTGCATAGACCTGGCTATTCTCTAGCTGCAGCATACAAAAATGGCACCAGGTGGCCCTTATGGTATTTCTACATAGTAGAACAGGCATATTTGTCCTAGAGGCAAATGAAAGTACCAACAGAGAGATGTGTACTTCTCCCAGGGTATGTAGGTCTCTCTAATTCTGGGGTTGCGGATGAAGTATCCCCCAAGCTTCCAGATACAAACCCTGTTTTCCAAAATCAGTATCATCAGGGAAAAGATGAGAGCTTTCCATTCATCTTTCTTATCATTTACCTTATTTTTCAGTTGGTTTAGAACCTGATGGGCCAGAGGGGTGCTACTTATTAAGCTTTTGTATTTTGAGGCTTGAATTTCCACATGCTGCCTTTATATCTTTGAGCCTTATGGGACCCCAAAGGCCTAGCTATGAGTTCCCCTGTTCTTGCCAGATGTACCCCAACTGCTCCCCTTGCACACACCCAGTGGAAAAGCCTCCCTGTTGGGCTGGTTCCTCTATCAGGAAGTGTAAGTATAAACTCACTGGGGAATGAGATTCRCCAAATTATGTTATGTGCATGTACAAATAGGTCACAGTGAATCTCACTATTATGCCTAATTATAATGCAAATAAAAGAGTAATCCTTTCAGAGAACTTTCCCTTAAAAAAAAAACCCTAGCATTTATGTATCAGAATCTCTTGATTATTCTTTTATGTCTCATAAATGCTAGTTCTTGTGTGGAAGAAAAGCTCCCTGAGGTCAAGGACTGTCTTTTCTACATCGTGTTTCCATATCCATAGTCTGGGCATACAGCAGGGCCCAGCAAYTCACTGTGCATCTACCAGTTGGAGCAGATACAGTCAGTGCCCCATTCATATCCATTTGCTGTTATCATTTCAGTGCATACCTGTCCACTTGTACCTGCCAATACACCTGCATTTCTTTTTCTAAAGGCTTTCTCAGGCTTCCAGATTCCTCTTGGCTCCCTGAACAGCATCCCCAGAGCAGTCCTCAGCAAGGCCTTATGAGTAATGGTGTACAAATACCCCAGCTCCCTCCCACTGCCCACTCCTGGGAGATGTCTGAGTTGTGATCTACTGGCTCTAAGGTTTTCTCAGCAGGGATAAGCGCTAGTTACCCATAGTAGAAACTTGTTCAACAATGTATCCTGTATTGGCTGTTTTCCTTCYGTATTTCACTGTCCACCTTCCTATAGGTTCTTCCTGGTGCTACATGCATAAGTATCCTTATCTCAGAGTGAAAACAACCCAAATTAAGACACAGGTATAAGGCTCTGTGGAGACAGAAACATTGCAGACCTAATTATTGTGCTTAAAATACATTATCTTTTGGAAAAGACCATCTGTATCTTCATACACAGCCTGAGTTTGGAAAGACAGATTGGCATCAGATCATAAATGCCCTGTAATACTAGACTCAGGATCTGGCGTGTATCCTAAAGACACTGGAATTTCTAGGGATTTTATTAGCAATGAAATGTCTTAGGAAGATCCCTCAATAGTGATATTCYGGTGCCTCATATGGATGAGTATGGATTTCAGGGCAGAGCCAAGAGCCTCTGGGGGCAAAAGATAAGTCAGAAGAGCATCATCATGGACCAGTCATAACTTGATAAGGAATGAGGGTAGAGGGAGAATTGCCAGGAGTTGGTGTAGGCCTGAACACAAAGGGTGGAGTGGGTAGGAATTGAGTGGGGAGAAAGGCAAAGGGTGATGGTAACTTTCCTGATTGGGGACCAGAAAAGTGATGACACTGCTGATGGAGCTGGCGGGCTGCCTGGGGAAGAGTTGGTTTGGGATGGGAAAGAACTTCTCCCTTGTCTGTTGTAACAGGGTGATCATGTCCCAAGAAACTCCAATGTTACAAATAGCATATTACAGTGACACAGCCGCATCAATGTTTATAGCAGCTCAACTCACAATAGCTAACCTATGGAACCAACCTAGGTGCCCTTCAACAGATGAATGGATAAAGAAAATGTGATACATATGATGGAATATCACTCAGCCTTAAAGAAGAATAAAATTATGGCATTTGTTGGTAAATGGATGGAGCTGGAGAATATCATGCTAAGCAAAATAAGTCAATCCCAAAGAACCAAAGGCTGAATGTTTTCTCTGCTATGCAGATGCTAATTCACAATAAGGCGGGGGGGGGGGGTGGCTAGGGAAGAATAGAGTTACTTTAGATTAGATAGAGGGCAGTGAAAGGAGAGGAGGGGGGATGAGGGTAGGAAGGATAGTAGAATGAAAYAGACATCCTTACCTTATATACATATATGACTGCATGACCAATGTGATTCTACAATATGTACAATCAGAAAAATAAGAAATTATATCCCGCTTATGAATGATATATCAAAGTRCAAAATATTCTGCTGTCATGTATAACTAATCAGAACAAATAAAAAATTTAAAAAACAGACAAACAAAATCAACATCATGAAGACAAGGTTACAATGGGACAAGGGATGAGAACAGTGATCACTATCATTTAGTAAGCATAAGAATCACTTAAGAAATTGAATAAAAATTCAGATTCCTGGAACCTAGTGCGAGGGATTCCCATCCAGGAGACTGGAGTGGGACCCAGGAATCTGACTCTGTGTCATTGCATCAGATGCTACCTTCTGCCATTTTCCCTGGGGAGTTTTGCACAGTTGGTTGGTAAGTGCCCACTCCACAAAGGCTGGTTTCAGGCCTGGAGAACCTCAGAGTTGTAATAAAATTGTTTTTCCTTCAGATATTCTACAAAAGGAAGATGCATCTTGTACCTGTATGTGTATTTTATTACACTATAAATGAGGAATAATAAACTGGTTGATTACAAAGGACAGCAAACCTATAAACAGCACTGAGAAAATGGGAAAAATTGAAGAGTTGAAAGAAGACAAAAGGGAAAAAAGATGATCCAGCATCTTTATCAAAATGAGTCTCAGCATAGCTCAGAAGATGGATAGTAAGCAAGAAGACAAGACATCAACTGTCCCTCTCAAACAGAGCCACTGGTGATCTGATACTGGGCTGCAACTGTTCACATAAATTGTACATGTATAAGATTTGTCAGTAGATGTGGTAAATTTTACCTTATACATTTACAATAGAGCAAGGACTTCTGGAACATCTCATGCAAATGCATGCAAATGAGCACACATGGATATATGCAAAAGAACAAAAGCAAGCATGTCATTCTTTTCTGCAAACAAATCATGCTATCTCATTTTAAAATCAGCTCTGCAACAAAAATCACTAAAACAAGTGATGATTCTTTTCTTAGGAAGTTAAAGCTTAGGCAGAATTAAATTATGATGATAACAATCAGATCACTGGTTGCTTAGGGTTGGGGGAGTTGACTGGTTAGGGCACAGGCATTTTCTAGGTGATGGAAATGTTCAATCTGGCTACAGAAAAAACTTGGTGCGTATTGTCTTGACTGCAAACTTCCTTAGTTAACCCTCCCTTGGCTTCTAAGTAACAGCTGTCTGAATTTTCTGCTTTTGACTTTGTGTTTGATGCCATAGGCTGTCGTTAATGTGATGCTTGCATCTAAAGCAGATTCAGAGAGAGCATGGTCAGATTCAGGATGGGGGATTCAGGAGCCTCATATTTGCTCACATTTGGGGGAACAGAACACTGCTAAAGAAACAAAAGCTCCTCTTGCCCCTCGAAAGATCAATGAACATTCAAATCTGGAGCAGTGCCAAGCCTGTCTAATTTGAAGTGAGAAAAATGGCAGCCTAGCTGGCTTCTGTCTTATACCCCTGCCAAGGGACTCACCTGTCAATAGCGATGGCCAGCAGGGCATTGGTGGAGACGTAGAGGGAGACAGTACGCAGGTAGTTGACAGAAGCACACAGCACATGGCCATGTTCCCAGGAGAGCTGGCGTACCACATAATAGTCCATCTCGAAGGGGCAACAGACAATGGCCACCAGGAAGTCGGAGATGGCTAGGTTAGCAATGAGCAGGTTGGTGAGGTTGCGCAGCTTCTTGTAGCGGGCAAGGGCAGCAATGAAGACAAAGTTGCCAATGCCACAGACTAGCATGATGCCTGCCAGTGCCACTCCAATGACGATCTTGGCTGCAAAGAAGGTCCGGGTCTTGGTCATGTCCTCATCTTCATCCAGAGGGAGGTCATAATCACCATAACTGAAGTTGAAGTGGAGGGAGGAGGCATGGTCTTGGGGTGGACTAAAGTTGGAAGCAAAACTAGTGTTTCTGTTCTGCACTGCCATGGTGATGCCTGCAGATGGATCGGTTTGAGGGAAGTGTAGGGAATACAGCACTCTGAGCTGGGGGGTCCAGATCTTGTGCTGTCCCAGACGATGTGATTGAGCCTAGTACCCGGCTCACATCCTTGGGCAGAGGTGATACACCATCTTGTTTCTGGAAGGAGACACAACCAGTGGATCACAGGAGAATGAAGAATATCTGGTAGCATTCCTCCAGAGTTCCCCAGGTACACACCCACCAAACCCACTGCCTACCTGTAGACAGAACTACTCAGGGTGAAGGGGAGAGAAGGCATGAGATCTGGAAGCTGGGATGCCCTCTATCACCTCTGCAGCTATTAGAAAGGACTGAATGCAAGGTGGATTGGACTTGCCAGAGACACCCAAGAAAAATGTGCACTTTTGTCCTTTTCCCAGGGGTCAGTGCTGGTTTGATGTCTAATTTATCCACTCACCCCTTCATCAGCTTCCACAGGTTTTCTGGAAGTTTCTCAAGGCAATTTCCCAGGCTTGTATGTTATCCACAATGTTGCACATCTATCGGCCAGGAATAGGGTCTTTCTTCCAAAGCAGGGCACAGAGCCCTCTGGTTTAGCCAAACCAGGGACTTGGAAATCACCAAAACCATTTTCATATGGATAGGCTGAGTCATCCTGGACCAGTGATTCATGCTCTCAGAGCCCTTACTTTCCTGTTAAACAAACTCCTGCTATCCAGTCCAGATCCTGCATAGGCAGGGTGTACGGTTGGGGAGCTGGATAGGAATTTGTTGAATGAATGAATGGATGAGGATCCCCACCTAGATGCTGTAGGTGGGAAGAGGAAATTCCCCTGATCCTTGGGAACCAGCTGCAGAAGGAATTCTCTGTCTCCCCACCTAGGTCCCACTACTTTGGATCTGCTCCCTCCTGCCTTCACCAGGTTTCCAGTTCCCCACCCCAGAGTCACCCTGAGTAGAAGGCACCACACCCTGTCCTGAAGGTCTTTGTCCTCCGAAAAGGATGGTAACTGAAAATAGCCCCCAAAGGTGAAGGGGGGGGAGTAGAAGGTCAAGACCCCAGAGGGCTCAAGGTGAACTGTCTGCCCTTCACTGGAAAAAGTCCAATGAAGGAGCCTCCTAGAGGAAATAAAATCTCTGAAGCATCAGCCCTCAGGAGATAGGAGAGCACAGGGTACAAGGAGTTGCTGAGTGTCTGGGAAAAGAACCAGGACCCTAGCGTCTGCAGAAAGGGAGCTGTCTTACTAGAGGTGAACCGCTTTCCTCCCAGACCTCTCGGCACACCTGGAAACGATTCCAAGTGTGGGGGCCAATGGATGCTGGTAGCAAAAAGCGACAAAAATGGGTCAGGGAAATTTGTCSGGCCCCTGGGAAGGCAGGACGGGAGCAAGGGTCAGGAACTGTCACCCTGGCCAGGACAAGAGTCGTAGTTGTGGCAGGAATATCCTAACCTATGGAGCTCCCGTCTGCTGCGAGACTGAGGTGGAGAAACCCCCGACAGGTGAGGTTCAACTCACAGAGGCGTCTGCAGCCGGGGTGTCCTCCCTGGGTTTGCCTTTCACACGGAATTCCAATCCCTGAAGACTCCGTTCAGCTGCGGACAGAGAAGCAGGAGTCCTGCCGGGTTTCTACGCTCCAGCCCCCAGACCCAAGGAAGAGGCGCATGCCCCGAGCGGGGACAAGTCCCTGTCCCCGTCGCATCATCCCGTTCCAGCACCTCCTCCCCTCCCCAACGCTGCCACGCGGTGTCCGAAGACTCCGCCCCGCCCCGGGCAGGAATCAACTAAAAAATTCATGTTTGAGAAACAAAGCCAGCGGGGCTTCGGGACCGCGGAAAACTAGGGGTGGGGGGTGGGGTTGGGGTTGGCGAGGGGACGAGGAGGGGCGAGAGAATTTTATCAGAGAGGTTGGCTCTTTTCTGCTCACCTTTCTGCAGGAGACCTCCCCCTGCAATTTGGCGCTCGCTCGCGCCCGCAGCCCCAAATCCCTGCCAACCTGGAGGACCCAGAGGGCATTTCCCCGAATCAAATCGCTAGCTTGGGGACAGATCGCCACATCCCGGGAATGGCAAGAGGCTAAGGAGCCCGCGTAGCCCTGAGAAAGAAAGCGGGCRTCGGAGCCCCTTGTCCGAGCGGCAKGAACACACAACCCGTCTTCCAACTGCGCGGATCCGATCGTTTACCCACCTCTGCACCTCTTCTCTTGGGGCACTCTGAGGTTCTGGCGGCTGAACGAGGGTCTTGGGGTGAGTGGACGCKGGTCGGGTCTCTGGTTCCCGCCTTGGGGAGCCGGACTAGCACTTGCCGAGGCGTTGAGCGCTAGTGTAGTAGGTGTGTGTTGTCCCTTTTTAGCCCCCTCGCCTCGGTGCTCTTCTGCGGGTCGGAGCTCCGCCTCCTCCACTCATCCCAACACCTCGGACCCGGCCCTGCGCGTCCCGCCCTCGACTCCGCCCTAGGGTGCCCCCGCCTGCCTTCAACCCTGGGCAGACAGTGGGCGATCTGCTCCCGCGCCCCGCCGMGCGCTGGGACTAGTGTGCTCTGGGTGCAGGACCTCTCTGGCTGGGGTCACAGGTTGTGGGGGCCTCCCTTCACTGGGGTTTTCTACTCCTTGGCACCCGGGTGTGAATAGGACCTCAGTAGCCAGGTGTCAGTGATGCGATTCTGCAGATGAGCACTATTGTCAGTTGTGCGGCTCCTATCCTCTGCACCCTGCTATAGCCCACCCCACCCCACCCCCGCACCYGAATCGCCTGTGCACAGGTAGAGCGCCCTGTTTTCTGCAGGTGCCCAGTGCTAGCATCTGCGCCTGCTACAAACCCAGTTGCAACCTCCTCTTCGCAAAGGCAACACGGACCTTATGCAGTGGTGATGGAGGAGGAGGCCTCCCATCCCCACCCCGGGGAGGAAGCTGGGATTGGGGGCAACTGGCCCTGCAAGAAGATCCAACCTTCATGTCCTTACCCAAAATCTACCATCACCACCACTGTCAGATTCTTTGGCTATTTAGTCAATTCCAATCAGGCCTCTCAGACTAGGGACGGTAGGCTCTGACCACTTTGCCTTCAGCAGACTTGGGCTTTAGACAACTTTTGCTCATCCTTAGAATTTTTAGGGTTAAACTTTAGAGCTGCGAATTCAAGGCCCAGTCGTTGGGAAGAACTGGGTATACAGATTGAGAGCTGCAAGCTCTGGTAGGAGACTGAAGGTCTAAGGGGTTCCCCATTGTGATTGACAGGCAAAATCTGGACTCCACTTCACCAGATCTTCCTGGTTTTCAAGAGAATCTGGAATTTGCAAACTTTGCTAATTACTCTGTTGGGCTAGTTAAAACAAAACAAAAACCATCTGTTGGCCAAGGAGAACATATCACAGACTGAATATAGTCCACTGGGCTGCCAATTTAAAATTCCTGGATAGATGATCTGGAAACTGGAGTTCTGTCCTTCCTATTTTGTGTGGAGTTAACCCCATTCTTCTGCCTTTCTGAAAACATCTATCTACCCATGTAAGATAAAAAACAGGAGACCCAGCTTTCTGCTGTCTGCAAAGGGAGGGGTTGCCAGCTGGTGGGTGTTGTGGATGGTGAGGACAACCTCCAGATGTGGGTTAGYAAGAGTAAGAATGACAGGGTAGCCAGTAGTTACATGCCCTGACAGAGTCTTTTGAAGACTTGTAGCAGATATATCACCTTCAGCTAAAGGCTTTACCCTTCCTGGACTAAGCCCATCCTCCTTTTTTATGGGGCAAATGACCCTGGGGACCTTCTGCTCAAAAGTGCTTTCCTGGAACCCTCTAAGATACAGTTATGATTGAGTTGATTGCACACAATCTGGAAACCTATAAGTGTCATTTTAATAAATTGAATTCCTGATTATCTCTTATGGTTTRCATCTTTAATGTCACCTAAAAAGTTCATGTGTAAGGTAATGCAGGAATTATTAGATTATGAAAGCTATAACCTCATCAGTGGATTAATCCATTTGATGGATTAATAATTTGGATGGACTACTGGTTGATAACTGTAGGCAGGAGGGGCAGGGCTGAAGGAAGTAGCTTACTGGGGACATACTCTTGGACTATATCTTGTCCTCGGCTCCCCTACTTTTTTTCTCTCTCTTTCTCCCCCTCCACTCTCTCCCTCTCTTCCTYTCCCTTTCCCTCTCTCCTTTCCACCCRCCAWAAGCTGAGCAGCTTTCCTCTKTCATGCCCTTCTGCTCTGATGTRCTGCCCCATCTCAGACCCAGAACAATGGAGTTGACTGACCATGGACGAAATCTCTGAAATTGTGGGCCCAGRTAAACTTTTCCTCTAAGTTTTTCTTGTCAGGTATTTTGATCACAACAATCATAAAGCTGACTAACACACTACCCACAGTAGAGTAAGGGTTTTACCTGGGGATGGCCATGAAGTTCCCAGGGAGACAATGAGGACAATATAACAAAGTGCTACAGGGAGTTGTCTTAGTTCATTTAGGTTACCCACTGAGACTCCAAGACAAAGATTTGAGTGCAGGTAATTTACTAGGAGTTGATCCTGGGAAGCAGAAGGAAGGTAGAGGGAAAGTGGGGCAGAGAAGGGAGAAAAACCAACGCATGATTTGCTAATGAGCAGGGAATGCTGTGGCTACCTGGGGCTCACTCTACCGGAGGCTCACTCTGCCTGAGAAACTATGTGGAACATGCCTCCTGATTGTCCATTACAGCACAGGGAGCCTGGGACATTCAGCCACTGAATGATTCCTATACCTTCACTGATGGACAGTTTTCCTGAGGGTGAAAAGAAGAGAGCTTTAAGACTTGGGTAGGAGGTATCAGAGTACAAGAACTGCACCTGCCAGTTAATTCAGGAGGACAGAAGGGACATGGGGCAGGTCATCAACCCCTCACAGCTGCTACAAGAGGGGAGCAGAGGGACATTGCCTTGAATGAGTAGGATTAACACTGGAGTTCATAGGCTAAACTGGGGGGTGAGCTCAGAGAAATCTGAGGGTGAGTAGGATTTTTAGGGCTAAGGATTTTGCRTAATTGGAGGCAATG